GTTGAGCGATAAGTAGTGCCTGGCGTGATGCCAACGTAACCTAGAACAGTTTGGCCAACATTCGTGGCTTGCTACTCTCACCAGCATATACCTTGTTACAATGGAAGCCCTGTTCTGTGTGAGCACACTCAAGTTGTGACGGGGAAACACTTAAACTCGCTTGGTCATCCGTGAAGTGCACTTTTTTTATCCTAGACCGTCAGAATATCACTCACTGTAAGGCGCTCCCATACAGTCTTATACACTAATCTCATCCCAAAGACGGCCAACTTTATACCTGATTCTGCACATTTACGTCGACAGAGACCAGTATCTGCGGATTACTACGACAAGATCTTGCTGGGAAGAACTGTGTGATACTGCACTTGATGTTACAAGTACTGGAACGTCCGTTTCTGTCGCATTGGGACCCTACGAACGGGTACGTATTTTGACTTCCAATGACTATTTGTAAAGATGCTGAACAAAGCAGGAAGCATGTTCCTCATGCTGATCTCTCCTCGAAAGTTCCAGTCACCAAAGCCCCTTTTATATATTCTAAGACCGAGGAGCTTGTTTGGAAATGGGAACAGTCAAAGCTCTGCGGTCGGAGTATCAACATCGCACTCTCTTCCGCCATGATTCCACAAGGTCATCCACCAAACAAAGCTGATAGCCAAGGCAAATTCGTATCCATCGAGAATGGCATCATTCATGTTTTTTCAAAGGCGCATCTCATGAATCTGGAGCCACATGACTATCAGATCGGTATTCTGGAGACAACGCATTCAGCAAACTTGAAGATTATCCTTCTCGGTGCGAAGAAAGAGAGGCAAACAAAATGTCTCAGCGGAAGCCTCTTTGGCCTCCAGCATTCCCTGTTGCAGAGAGGCCCTCTTTCTTCCAACCGCTGGTCAACTGAATTCTGGGTATCCGACTCGGTCGTTGTTGATTCAAGATCCATTGAAGAGGCTAAATCGGTACTCAAGGCCGTGCGCCCAGAGAGCCCTGATGAGGCAACGTATGTCTGTGTTGGCCTTCCAGTCACGATCTTCGGGCCATTATTCAACACGCTGGTTTCGAAATGGAACGCGAGTGCGGCTTCCTTCGAGTACTCCAACGGATTCATCTGGATATATTTCACAGTGGACCCGACAAACTTTAAGATTGACGCGGGCGAATTTTCCAGTCCAGCCAAGCAATCTATTTCTTCCATGCTGAAGCAAATGAACGGTAAATCCTGGTTTGTTAGGGCAAAGCTCATGTTCAGACTCAAAAGGTCGAGCGGGGAGAAAGCGGTTATCCTTGCCGAGCTCCTAGAAGTTTCTCACATACATGTCACCTCTTCTCATAAGCCCATCACTCACTCTTAGGACAGACTTGGATGTTGGAATGGGTTGGAGGTTGGCAAAACCGCTGCTGTCGTCTATCCTTTGTGTTTCTTTTGTTTCTTTCGAATCAAATACAGGTTGCCCAATAAGGAACTAAAGGAGCTTTTCAAATAAGCTTTTCAAATCTTTTGACAAGAGCTATATTTACTGATATCTGTGCGATCTAACAATCACGTTCACATTAGGGCCAGAGAATTGCTTGTAATCGTTCTTCAGCCAAACATTCATCGTAACACGTCTGGGAACTTCCAGACCAGGAATCAAATGCCAAGATTTAGACTAAGCAAAAGCAAGCCTGATGGGACTGCAATACTACGTAGCTAGAAGGGGTTATAGAGCACGAATTCTGTGGTGATTGGTCCAGCCTTGTCAGATCGGCACTAGATTAGAATCCTATTCGGAATACTGCTCGGAGGCGTGTTTGCTACAACACGACCGCCTTCCGTAGAAACAACGCTCTTTGCTTCTTCGACGAGTTCGAGTATGATTGCGTCAATAGACATAATGACTTGGTCCATAGAAAAAGTCCTGGTGTGAAAACCCCACGGGCGGAGGGTCACAACAGTTTCCACGGTGGCCGTCGCTGGCCACGGCTGCCTCCTTGATCCTCCTAACAATGACACACACTGCCTAGCCGGACAAGCGGCCATGCGACATCTGAAAATGCATCTCAGCACGTTGACTGAGTTCAACAGTTGGAAACATGGGACAATTTAACACCGCATTATATTGCAGGCACACGATAAGCGCAGAATTGGGGTTCAACGTTGAACATAAACTTCACGAGACGCACCTTTTGAGATAGAGATATGGTTTCTTCTATGCTGTCGGTGGTCTTTTTACAGGTCTCGATGATGGTCATTTGCAACCGATCGTCTCAGCCCAAGAAGCCGTAAAAAAGGGCCTTCCCATATTTTTCACCAGCATCAATGATCACTGCATCAACATCGTAAGCCGCTTTCGACCGCCCAAACAAAGCTCTAGGTCAGCGTTGTTCAGACAACCTAATAAGATATAAACCTGCTGATGCCCAGTATTGCCTCGCGTAAAAGCATGTCCCACCCTGCTTCAAAGTTTGCCGAATGGCTTGCCAGAGCTTCCATCCAAGACAAGTTCGGTCTCTGTGGGCTCCTCGCTCTTGTATGCTGGGTATCTTATAACCTGGGACGCCGATTCAGCCATTTGCGCTTGAGGTTGCAACACGCGGTATCCTGGAGACGCTTCTTCCAGGTGGCAACACCAGGCGTGCTCCAGTGGCTCGATATCCCATCATACTTGCAAGGGGGAGTACTTGCCGCTCTGGTGATTACCAACATTATTGCAATCAGTCTTCATGCTCAGACCTGGGCGGATGTGCAGAAGCGAGCCGGATGCTTGGCGGTCACACACCTTGTTCCCCTCTGCTCCGGGTTTAGCTTCAGCCTTCCGGCCCACATCTACCGTGTCAAACGGGGCACGTTCCAGTGGGCCCATCGGTGGCTAGGCCGCATTTGCGTGCTGCATTGCCTTCTTCATGGGTCCCTGTTAGGCACAGTTGCTCGAAATACAAGCCTTGGGGCTTCCCTCATCATCCCGCTCGTGGTACGTGCAGCGGGCCAGAAAATGGCAGCCTTCCCATTTCCCCAAAGGATGTCTGACTAGAAGTGGCTAATATTACACAGGCCGGATGCAGTCTCGTCTCGATCTTTCCTTGGACGCTCGCTGCGATTCTTCGGCGGTGGCCGCAACTCGGCCTCAAGGTCCACCATGTGCTTGCTTTGATCGCCACCGGCGCCCTTTTCTACCATTTAATCGACCGGGTATCGTCCTACCGCTGGGTTTTACTAGGCGGTGTTTGCGCCGGATTTGCCTGGAGTGCCGGGACATGTCTGCATACCATGTGGCTCCACAGATCGTGGCGCATCACCTCTCTACGGGCCCTCGCGCGGTCTTCCAACAGGCTCTTATGGCTTGATATTGCGGTTCCGGTGGAGTGGGTGGCCCAACCGGGGCAGTATGTACAGCTCTGGATGCCACGCCTGGGAGTAAGGTCCTGCTTGCAGCTTCCCGCATTCTACGTGGCTTCGGTGGGTACAGTGCAAAACAACCCAGGAGCACCGACAACTCGTATGTTACGCATAGTGGCCCGGCCTGGACCGGGCGTGACCCGAAGGATCGTACAAGCTGCAGATCGTGCGCACTCGACGATTCATTTTCCGGTGTGCGTGCTGGGTCCCTACGGGCACCCACCTCACCTGGGCCAGTATGGGACCGTCGTCTTCATACTTGAAGACATTGGACTCTTCCGCGCGTTGCCGTTCATACGACATCTCGTCCAAGAAAGCCGAAGCCGGAGGAACACGGTGCGACGGCTAGAGGTCCTGTGGCAAGTTAGGCTGAAAATTTTCAGTAGGTGTCCTTCCTCTTCTCAGATGCTTTGCGGTGTCATGCGCTTACCGAAACAGACCATCCCCGCTGGGTGGGGGAGGAAATCTCGCAAATCCTTGAACTCGACCGTATGTTTGACCGAGACGATTGTCCCGAGCATAGACACCGAGATGACCGGGGATTCGATGTGAGTGAATTCTCCTCTCGCTATAAATTTTACAATAGG